TGTCATCGTTCTTGGCTTACCCTTTCTCATTTTACCTGACAATGTCCTCAAATAAAACCCTAAGAAAGCATGGAGTGGTATCTTTTCTGAGCTCTATCTTCCAAAAAAATATGACTCAGTGTTTGAGTTTTGGAGCCAGTCCGAGATAGGTTTGAATCTTGGTTCTCCTACTTATTAGCTGTATGCCCTTGGGATGATTCCCTAATTGCTCTATGCATGAATTTTCCATTTGCAAAATGGGGGAGCCAGTAATAGCCGTAGTACCTATGTTTTTAGGGAGCTATGAGGATTAATTGAATTGGTACATGTAAGCCATTTAGAACACTGCCTGGTGCGTACCACATCCCCATCAGTATTCACGTCTCTCATATTCTACCCTCACGCTTGATTGATAGTTTGGTTGATTATGTATTTCTAGGTTGAGGATAATTTTACCTTAGAATTCCAAAGTCCGTGCTGTTGTCTTCTAACCAGTTGTGGTGGTGAAGCCTCATGCCATCCTGAGTTTCACTTCTTTATGCAGAACTTTCTCCCTGGAAGCTTTTAGGAGTTTGTCTTTTCCTTGGTGAGCTGAAATAGCACAACAGTGTACTTAGTGTGGGTCTTTTTTCATTCATTGCGCTGGGTACACCAAATGGATCGGCCTATGGATAGGCTCTTTCAAAGTTGAGTCTTGAATCTTGTCATATTTTTGTTGTTAACTTTCTCCTTTCCATTTTATTTGTTCACTTTGAAGTGTCTGTTAATTGGATTTTAGACCTCTTGCCTTGAGTCTTGTATCTCACGTTATTTCTAATTTTTAAAAAAATTTTAAGTTCCGGAATATTTTTCTTATCTTTCAACTTTGAGGAAATTTTATTTGGAGAGTCATAACTTTAAGTTTTGTTTTGGTTATTTATTGTTGCTTAACCAATTATCCCAAAACGTAATGGCATCAAACTACACATTTGTCTATCTGTCACTACTGTATGGGTTAACTGGGGCTAGCTGGACAGTTTTTCTGCTGGTCTCATTTGGCAGCTCTCACTGTGCGGTTAGACGGTGGCAGGGACTGGTCGTCTGGATGCTCAGCTGTAGTGGAATGTCTGAGACGACGTCTTCACCCACGGGACTCTGCTGCCTTGGTGTTTCTTCCTGTGGCCTTTCTCTCCGCATAGCACCTCATCCTCTCGGGCCTCTTCATGTGGCTTTTCTTTCTCCAAGAGGGTAGTCAATTCTTAGTTTTGGCTTCCAGAAGCACAGAAGTGGACCTGCCAGGCGTTCTTAAGGCTTAGACCTGGAACAGTTCCAGCGTCATTTCTACCACATGCTACAGGTTAAAGTGAGTCTTGGGGCCAACCCAGATTCACTGTGGGATGGACCTGTCCAAGGACGTGATGACGGGAGGTGTGGCTCATTGCGGACCAACTCCCAGGATGAACCCTGAGTTCTAAGAACTTTTTCTTCTCTGATTATTTCTTATTCATATTCTGTTTTGTTTTATACATGTAATATATTCACAAGTGTCTTTATGAAGTGATTTTGATACTCTTTGTCTTCTCCCTTGCATCTCTTTGTTCTTTAATACATTTTTTCTTAGTTTATTTTGGTCTTATTTTTCTTTTTAAAGCCTTTCCTTAAATATCTCTTCTACATTGCTTATCACTTGTAGTCTTTTTTTCTTTTTTTTTTGAGACCAAGTTTCGCTCTTGCTGCCCAGGCTGGAGTACAATGATGAGATCTCGGCTGACCACAACCTCTGCCTCCCAGATTCAAGTGGTTCTCCTGCCTCAGCCTCCCAAGTAGCTGGGATTACAGGCATGCACTACCAGCTAATTTGTGTATTTTTAGTAGAGATGAGACTTCTCCATGTTGATGAGTCTGGTCTTGAATTCCCAACCTCTGGTGATCCACCCACCTCGCATTCCAAAGTGCTGGGATTACAGGTGTGAGCTACCGTGCCTGACCTGTAGTCTTTTTTTTTTTTTTTTTAATTCCTTTATTTGTTCATTCATATTTGAGAGAGGTGCTAAAAGACTGGGAGCCAGTGTGTGGTGGCTCACACCTATAATCTCAGAGCTGTGGGAGACCAAATTTGGAGGATCATTTGAGCCCAGGAGCTCAAGACTAGTTTGGGCAACATAGTGAGACCTCATCTTTACAAAAAATAAAAAAAAAAATAGTGAGGTGTGGTGACACCCTTCTGTAGTCCCAGCTACATGGGAGGCTGAGGCAGGAGGATTGCTTGAGCCCGGGAGGTTGAGGCTATAGTGAGCTGTGATCATGCCACTGCGTTCCTGCATTGCAGCCTAGGTGAAAGAGCAATACCCTGTCTCAAAATAAATAAATAAATACAAATAAAAATAAATAAAAATTGATTGGGAGTTCTTTGTGGCCAAGACTTGTCAACTGATAGCTTTTAGGGGAATGTAGGCTGATTCCTAATTGTTATCCTCCACCCCTCTATCTTATCTCCTGGTGCAATCGTAAATGATGGCTGGAACTACTCCATTCCTCTGGATGTAAAATCTACATTCTCTTGTCTGAGGTAGGTATATTTGCTTGGGTTCTGCTTAAGGAGATGGGGGCAACAGTGTGTTTCAGGGCCTGTAACATGTGTTCTCTATACAGGCTTTTGGTTAATCTCTGTTTTCAGTCTTGCCTATCAGTCCCACTCTCGGGGGTACCTCGTATCTGAGTCTAAAACCTTTCCAGGTTGCTGTGGGACAAATTAGCTTCCTTGTTCTCAGTATCCCCCTGACCTCCACCTTTGTTAGCTTTGCTCCATTAATTAACCATTTTCCATTTACTATCGTTGTCTAACGGAGATGAATTCTCTTCTATTGGTAACCCCATTCCTTTTTGTAATTGTGTGTTTATACAATGTTTATTCTTCACTGTATTTCTATTGGAGCCTCAGGACAAAGAGCAGATGGTGAAAATATGTGTTCAGTGTTCAGTTTTCCTTCTGTAAGATATCTGCAAATTGGAATAGATCATGGACTTAATGCATATAGAGCTACTTTGTTTTTCATGGTTGTGCCTTCAATTCCATGTAGAAATATAATTTGTGACTTGCCTGATGAAATTTTCCTAATTTTGAGTCATCTTTACATTCCTATAATAAACACTGTTAGAATGGCTATGGTAATATTTTATTTTTACATTTTTACTTCTGTATTAAATAAGATTATAGTTCTGTTTGTTTCCTTTAAGGCTGTTATTTCATTTCAGTGTCAAGGGTATGCAGGGCTGACTTGGGAAGCTTAACATCTTTTTTCTAAGATCTAGGATGTAGATCTAGTTTACAGAGTAATTTTCAACTGCAGGAGTATTTTACCTCCCATGGGACGTTTGGAAATATCTGGAGACATTTTTATGATCACTGGTCATGGTTGGGAGGTCTTATTGGCATTCTGTAGGTAGAGGGGATGTTTCTAAACATCCAGCAACACACCAGGAGAACCCTCCACAAAGAATTGTCTGGCCCAATATATCAATATTGCTGAGGCTAACAAATTCTGGTTTAAATAAATATCTAATTTGGAGGATGAGTCTTTGTCTTTTTTCCTTCTTCTGCATATTGGTCTCCAGATTTTCCACTTCCTCAGTTAGTTTTCATAACTGTAGATTCTTAAACAAATGAACACTTCCTCCATACCTCTAAGGTGTTGTAAAGATGTGTAGTTTTCACTTTTTGCATCATATTCACATGTGGCTATATGCTCTTTTCTCTTCAAGGTTTTCTTTATCTTGATTACTTATCAGAGGCTTCACTATTTTATTATCTTTGTCTTTTGAAAGAATCCTCATTTCGTATTTTTTTTTAATCTTTTTTTTTCTACTTTTTCCTTATGTCTTAATTATTTACCCTTTTTGTTTATTTTGCTTTTCCTAGTTTAGTAGATCAATGTAATTTAAATTACTTTTTAAACAAACATGTAAGGGTATACATTTTCTTTGAGTGCTGTTTGACTTTGTTCCACAAGTTTTAAAATTATTTTTTAATAGCTTGTATTTTCTAAATTATTTTATTGCTGCTTTTGTTCAAATTGCTCTATTAAGTTTTATTTATTTATTTATTTATTTATTTATTTATTTATTGAGAAGGAGTCTCGCTCTGTAGCCCAGGCTGGAGGGCAGTGGCACGATCTTGGCTCACTGCAAGCTCCACCTCCCGGGTTCATGTCATTCTCCTGCCTCAGCCACCCAAGTAGCTGGGACTACAGGTGCTCACCACCATGTCTGGCTTTTCTTTTGTATTTTTAGTAGAGATGGAGTTTTACCGTGTTAGCCAGAATGGTCTCAATCTCCTGACCTCGTGATCCACTCATCTCGGGCTCTCAAAGTGCTGCAATTACAGGCATGAGCCATTGCATCCAGCCCAAAACTTTGTGTTTTTACAGATATTAGACATGTTTCTTGTTTAAGAAAAAAAAATCTTAACAAAAACGTAGAAGAATAAGAGAAACATTTTTCCAAAAAAGAGAAATCATTGTGATTATTTTGTCTTATTGGAATATTGGATAATATAGTCTGCTTCATTAATCATCAAGCATGCTATGGATTTTCCATTTTTATAGAATTTGTATCTCAGTTAAGGTAACACTGGTAATTTTTGTACTGTATTTGAAGATGAAAAATATAGGCCAAAATCATAGACCTTGCATAGAAGCTGGATAATGAAGACAGTTCTGGAGGAAAACATAGATACACACACATGGACACACATATATATAAAGTATGCACACATTTTATTTTTAAAGTTTTAAAGCTTTTAAAGCAAAAGCCAGCCCCTCCCCTCTCCCAGAGTGGATGGCCTCTCCTCTCTCTTAGAGTGGGTTGGGACAGCGGTTGCATGGGGTCCTTTCCTTGTGAGCCACAGGTCCCTCTGGACACACTGCTGTCTGGCCACACCCCCTTTCCCTTTCATCTTTCTCATTGACCAATGGGCTTGGAGCATTAAGGCCACGCCCCTATTCAGCATTCTACTGGGGCCCTGGTTACGCCGCCTCTGGCTCAGTGGCACAGCAACCTGGTCAGTGACTGGAGGTGTTCATCAGTGCTCACTAGGATTTTGCTGATGTGGCCCCAAACCCGCCTCCCTCCCCACCCTGCGATGGCAGAAGAAACTCAACAGAGCAAATTGGCTGCAGCCAAGAAAAAGGTAAAAACGCACTGCGTCATGGCCTCCCAACCCAGCCACAGATCCCCTCTGATAACAAGACTTCTGCCAGAGTTGATACCTCTCCTGAGGCACACCAGACTGGGCCCCCCAACCCCGGTACCTCTGGGCTACTCCCACCAAAGTTTTGTCAGTCAGCCCCACCCCTTCAGCAAGCAGCCCAGTCCCTGCCCACACTAATCACCCCAGGTTGACTTTGGGCAGGTGACTCCTGGGGCTCCCCACTCCATTACTGGGCCCTCATCTCCTGCCACCCCAAGCTTGATCTCCCTGGGCTCTTTGGGCTCTCATCTCAAAGGACCTGGGTTCCCCAGCCCCAGGCCCCTCCCTTGCCAGTCATCCCTGGGTGACTTTGGGCTGGTGACTCCTGGGACTCCCTGCTGCAGACTCTGCCCTCCCCTCCTACTGCCTCAAGGTCGACCTCCCTGGGCTGTTTGCACTGGAGTCTCCAAGGACCTGGGTCCCAACCCTGTGTTTCCCTCCCCCATCATGAAGCAGCAACAGACATCGTGCGGATGTGGTCCCTCCCCCGAACCAGGAGGAGTGGAATGTAGTGATGTCACAGTCCACCTAGTAACTGTCATTACTGGAAGACTGGCCTTTGATCTTATGATTAAAGTCCCCTGAGCGTTCTCAACCCATTTCTGGTTCCTCTGGTCACAGCACACATTTCCAGCTGGAAGGGAAATGGAGACTATGGGACCTAGGAGCAAGAGGTTTCAGGCTGCCTCACTCCCTTAACATCGACATTGACAGGGGGAAAAGCCTACACTTCCCCCGTGAGCTCAAAACGTTGACAGTATCTCTGGGTGGCAATGGGAGAATGGGTTTGGTTTTGGTTTTCTCCCAGGCTTCTACTTTCCAGAGAGATTTTAACATTTTTTTTTCTGAGTTCTCCACCTCATATTCTAATTCTCCATGGTTCTGGGACCAGACTGCGCTTCAGTCAGTGTTCTCTGAAGTGAGATTTGCTCATCTTCTGTGGAACAGATCTTGGGAAACTGAACTTGATGACTTGCATCTTCCTCATATTATCTCAATCTGGGGTACTTTGAGTGCCACAGGATAAATGTGGGACATCTTCCTGAAGCATCAGTTTCCCTTGATTCTCTTGAGATCAGGAGAAAAATCATTAGTGTACTTAAGGATGACAGTCACATAGGTTTCTAAGAGAATACCAGACTTCTGTCTGAAATGAGGCTTGGGTTGTCCTCTTTCTGATGAATTCCCAGATTTAACAGAAAGGCTGTCTTCTGCCATGAGGACACATTGATATAAAAGTTTGAGAGGTACTGGTGCACTTCTTCACACTAACAGACGTGTGAGGATGTATGACTCTAAACCACATGGCATACAGCTCCTGCCTACTTAATGTTTAGTTTTCTACCTCTGCCTCTGGTTTTCATCCCTGGCAGCTGCTGATTCTTGGCAAAACCTCAGAGCTTGGAGTCAGAAGATTGAGTTTCAAAGTTCCAGTTTTGCCTTTTTCTTATTTTTTTCTAGCCATGATATCAATCCCTCTCAGTCACTAAATGATTGTGACAACACCTTGTATAGTTGTTGGCGTCATTAAATCAGATAGTGTATGAGAGTATTTTGTAAAAACTGTAAAGGAGGATGTGGTTGTAGGGGCTGATAGTTCTCATGAGTATTACTGTTCTTCTTTCCCACAGTTAAAAGAATATTGGCAGAGAAACAGCCCTAGTGTTCCCGCAAGAGTGAAGAGGAACAGGAAAACAAATGGCAGTGTCCCTAAGACAGCCACTTCTGGTGGTTGCCACTCACCTGGGGATGTGAGTCTTGGCTGACCAGGCTTCTGGGGACAGGGGGCCCAAGGGGCAGTAGAGGGTAATTGTTAAGGTTGTGGATGGACTGCTGGGTACTGGTTCAGAATTCTGGATTTGGCCGGGCATGGTTGCCCACACCTGTAATCCCAGCACTTTGGGAGGCCAAGGCAAGTGGATCATGAGGTCAGGAGATTGAGACCATCCTGGTTAACACGGTGAAACCCCGTCTGTACTAAAAATACAAAAAAGTTAGCCGAGCCTGGTGGCAGGTGCCTATAGTCCCAGCTACTCAGGAGGCTGAGGCAAGAGAATGGCGTGAACCTGGGAGGCGGAGCTTGCAGTAGCCGAGACCGCACCACTGCACTGCAGTCTGGTGACAGAGCAAGGCTCCATCTCAAAAAACAAACAAAAAAAAAGAATTATGGATTTGAATCCTGCCTCTCCATCTGCTAGGGATATGATTTAGGGCAAGTTCCTTGAGCTCTTTGGGCCTCCCTTTTCACATCTGTGTAATAGAGGTGGTATCGTTTGACTTCCATTTTTTAAGTTTAAATGAGATTTGTTACTGTTGTTTTTATGTTAATCCCCAGTACATGGTCTGCTGTAAACACTCAGGACACCCAGGATATGGTCATTGTTTGATTTTTCTCATCCCCAGTCTTAAGGGGAAGCCAGGACAATGAGAACAGCCACTTGCCATCAGGAGTCATTGAAAGGGCCCCACGGTGGGATGGTGGGGAGATAAGAACCATGAGAGAAGTTGGCACAAAGGAGTTATGGGGCAAAGGGTCCAAGATAGGCAGAAAAGAAAATTGTTGCCATTGATGGGGAAGAAAGGAAGTCAGAGGGCTTAGACACTGAGGGGGAGAGAACATCTCCATGTGCACTCTCACCTCTTGTAGTCAGCAACAGGTATCGACGGAGAGGGCCCTACGTCATCTGCACCCCTCAAGGATCTGGAGGTAAGAGGCTCTGGGCGGAGGTACAGTGACTCTGCAGGCCAGCCCTCCAACCTCCTCCCACAGCGGGGACTGGGTGCCCCTCTGCCAGCTGAGATAGCCCACACACACCCCAGCCCTAATGATTGTTCTCTCTACCTCTCCCCCGACTCCTCCTCCACCTCCTCCTCTCTGCATGTGCCTCAGAGCCCGTCCCAAGAACTAGCAGTAGTCCTGGACTCGAGGTCTGTCAAAATCAGTCAACTGAAGAACACCATCAAATCTTTGGTAAGAGTCCAGTGGGGTCCCCTGATTCCACGCTGCCAATCCTGGGCTCCAGTTTCCCCTTGGGGCCCTGAAGAAAGGGGCTCAGGCGGACCTGGTGCCAAGGACAAATAGGGATCTGGGGTGCCCAGACCTCACCTGGAGGGACCCCAGAGCACGCACCATGGCTCTTCTTTTGCTGCCCTCTTTGCCGACTGTCTCCTCTCCACACACCTCTGCTTGAGTCCTTGCTACACACGCCCTGGGGCTGTGGCCTCTCGGGGAAGTGCGAGCCTGACTGGTTGTCAGGGGCGCCGTATTTCTGCCGTGACTCAGTCCCTAATTTGCTCTTCGATTCTGGACAAGCCACCTCTCCTTTTGGGCTCATGTTTCCAGAGGAGGTAGTGAGTATCAAAGGTGTCTGTTAGCTCTGAGAGTCCGAGATTTAAAGCCCCCCAGAACAGAAACCCCAGGGCGAAGGGCTCCTGACTGTCCTTTTCTTGCCTATATCTGCTGTGAAGAGCCGTACCTGGCCCATACGTGCTCAGTGAATGTTTATTGAATGAACGCACTTTTCTAAATGACAAGTCAGTGGAAGAGGGGGCCTTTCTCAAACTCCATCTCTAGAGGTTTATGTTCCTGTCCTCTGAAGAGATTTCAGATTCAGACTTTGAGATCTGTGACTGTGGGCGGAAACCAACAAAGACCCAAATCCTCTGTCCTTGGGCGCTTGAGGAGAGTTGACCAGTTCGTGTTCCCATTGGGTCTGAGAACTCTGCCTTTAAAATCCATTCCTGGCCCCGCCTCCCGCTTCCTGGCCTGGAGAATAGAGTTGAGGGGCCACCCTCCCTCACCTTAATTTGACTCTCCCCACAGAAACAACAGAAGAAACAAGTGGAACATCAGCTGGAAGAAGTAATGTGATTTGTTTGCTCGCGACATGACGGCTGGGTTTGGGGGGCACTCAGATGTAGAGGCCCCGGTCTCATCTCACCCACTCCCAGCCTGGGGAAGAAGGCTCACCCCTCAGATTCCACCCCATCCCCACAGGGTCCCTGATAACCTGGTCCCATGGGTGGACCTGTCCTGGGGCAGTGGTGGCTTTCTGGGGGCATGTCTCTTGCTGTGCCATCTCTGCCTCCCCCTGGTAAGAGCTCTGTCTTCCTCTTCCTATAGGAAAAGAAGACAAACAATGAGAAACAGAAAACCGAAAGGGAGCTAGAGGTGAGTGGAGGGTGTGAAGTTTTCTCCTGTCCTCCGGGGAATGTTTCTTTCCTTCTCTTCCAGCACTTGCTTGGCTTTTCTCCCAAAGGTTCAAATCCAGACACTGAACATGCAGAAAGGGAAACTAAGTACGGACCTGTATCGCACGAAACGCTCGCTCAGATGCTTTGAAGGTGGGAATCTGGGCGCCCTGTCATCCTTCAGCCTGGCACTTTGACAGGTCTTTAGGGGAGTCCTTTGGGCCCCATCTGAACTCTCTCATTACAGAGGAGTCCAAGGATCTGGCCGACCGCCTGCAATGTTCATCGCAGCGTAAAGGAGAGTTAGAGCAGGTTCTCTCTGCTGTCACCGCCACACAGAAGAAGAAGGAGGACAGAGTGAGTCTGACCACCCGCCCTGTGCCCTGGGAGCCCGGCTTCGCAGATGGAGGAGTGAGCCTAAGGGTCCCTTCTTCAGGATGGAGTGGCCTGCCCAGGAGGCAGCATGGCTATTTCTTGCTGTTTTTGTGTCTGGTTGTTAGAGGCAGCCTGGGGCTGAGTCAGCTGCTGTGGGTGAGTTGGGGGGGCGCGGTGGGGAGGGAGCACTGGACACAGAGCTTGGAGGCCAAGTGCCTGCCCTGCCCTTACCTGGCTGGGGTCTTGGCCAAGTCCTAGGTGGGGTGTTGGGTACTTGTTCTGTGAAGGTACAGAAGATTACCTTTAGTATGTTACCATTTCTGTAGAGAGAGGAAACCTGCGTGTGTGTGTGTGTGTGTGTGTGTACATACTATGATAATATACATAAAACATGTCTGCAAGGTTCATAATAAACTCAGGAGAGAGCAACAGGGTGGCTGGGAGATACTTCCCTTCTGTACCTTCTGAGTTTTGGACTATGCGAACGTATCATCCTTTCAAAAACTGAACGAAAGATTAATTTTCCCCTTCCTATCTGTACCCCCATCCCCAGCAAGAAAAATGGGCTTAGAGAATCAGATAGACCTGGGTGTTCAAATCCCAGCTCTGCCTACGTGGTGTTAGGCAAGCATTTAACCTCAAATACTCCATGTTTTTTCATCTACACAATAGAGGTCATCATAGTAACTGTCTCCTATGGTGGTTGCGAGGAGTAAATGGGATTGCTAGCGTGGTGCCTGGTGAAGCACTCCATAAAGTTTCAGACAGTGGTAGTAATAACAGTAATAACAATAGCAGTATTATCTGATCTCTCTGGGCCTCTGTTAGCCAGCTGTAAATTCCATCTCATTCCCTGTCCCTTCCAACTTTACTGAGTTCTTTTAAAAACCAGACCATGGACTTGGAAGTGCGTTGATCTTTACTGACTGAGTTGTATACTGAGTCTAGCCATAGCTCTTTTAAGGGGCACTGTGTGGAATGGCCCGGGCTCCCCAGATTGAAACTTCTCACTCTTCACCATCCAGTCCTCGAGCCGCAGTAAAGCACGTATGGAGTGGAAGTTAGAGCAGTCCATACAGGAGCAGGCACTTCTGAAAGCACAGCTGACCCAGGTGGGGTTTTGCAGAGGGAGGGATATGGAAGGAAGATGACCCCAGGTGGCCAGGAGCAGGTGAGGACCAGTGACAGCCCTTCCTAACTTCTGTGCCCATTCTTGCAGTTGAAGGAGTCGCTAAAACAAGCCCATCTAGAGAGAGATGAATATGCTCAACATCTAAAAGGAGAGAGGGCCCGGTGGCAGCAGAGGATGAGGAAAATGTCACAGGAGGTGAGGTCTGACCCTTCAGCTCCCCCATCTTAGATGGGTCAGTGGATCTTTCTAAGCATCTGTAACATGGGAACAGTACAGCAAGAGGTGGTCATGGGTCTGGGCTTTGTGGAGGTGGGCGCAGAGAGGGAGATGGCAGCCACCAGTCACCAGCCCCTCTCTCCAGGGCCCTTTCCCCCTGTGCTTTGGGCAGGTTTGCACATTGAAGAAGGAGAAGAAGGATGACATGCGTCGGGTGGAGAAGCTGGAGAGGAGCTTGTCCAAACTCAAGAACCGGATGGGTAAGATGGGGCTGGTGTGACCTGGGAGCAGGCCTGGCATCAGAGGGCTTAGAATGCCCCAGGGAGGTGGGTGGATGGAAGAGCTTTGAGGCAGAAGGAAAGAGGTCTGTGCCAGGAGACGGCAAGTCTTGTCATCTGTGTGAGCCTCAGTGTCCCCATCAGCACAGAGGGCCCATTGTCAGCCACCCACAGTGCTCTGTATCTGAAAGTGGTTGGAAGATTGGCTACCATCTGGGTGCGAGGAATCATTAGCAGTGAGGCCAAGTTTGGGGAGGCTGAGAGGAGCTGTGCACCAAGAGGAGGGGTTTTTGGTTGTTTGTTTATTTGTTTTGTTTTGTTTTGTTTTGTTTGAGAATCCAGAGGCCCTTATTGTCTGCTTCCTTTCTCAGCTAAACCCCTGCCCCCGGAGCGCCCAGCTGTGCCCCCTGAGGAGGAGCTGCAGCACCTGAGGAAGGAACTAGAGAGGGTGTCAGCAGAGCTCCAGGCCCACGTGGAAAACCATCAGCACGTAAGTCTCCTGAACCAGGCACAAAAGGAGAGGCTTCGGGAGCAGGAAGAGAGATTTCAGCAGCTGGCCGAGCCACAGAGCGGCGTCGAGGAGCTGGTGTGTTGCCCCACCTGGGGAGCCTGCCCTCCTCCCTAGCCCTCCAGGCCTTTGTTTCCCCACCTGTAAAATGGGACAGTGTAGCCTTCACGTGAAATGTTACTTTTAAAGGCACCTGTGAACCAGAGCCCTGCTCTGGTGGCTGTGGGAGAGAGGGGATGATTTTTCTAACCTGCCTCCACCCTTCCCGGTGCCATGGGAGGCAGACATCAAGTTCTGGGGTCTCCAACTGCAGTGGGTGGCTGCTGATTGCTTCTCTCTGTCCAGAACAATGAGAACAAGAGCGCACTGCAGTTGGAGCAGCAAGTGGAGGAGCTACAGGAGACGCTGGACGAGGTGAAGGAGACGGTAACCTCTGCCCCATCCAAGAAGGGCAGGGAGGCAGGCACCAAACTCTGGGGAGGGGAGGTGCCAGGCCAGAGGCAGCTCCAGCCTGGGGGCAGGTGACCCCAGCACACTCCAGGGCAGTCCTGTGATTGTTTGTTGCTTCCTATCCTCTGACTTTTAGAGGTGGGTAGCCCTGGGCTCCTCCCAGGTCTGGACATCATCATCCCAGCTAGAGGCATGGAGCCCCCAATCATAGGGGAAGAGACAGTGGGATAAGAGGCTCCTTATGCCAGGGGCAGTGGCTCATGCCTATAATCCCAGTACGTTGGGAGGCTGAGGCAGGAGAATCACTTGATGTCAGGAGTTTGCGATCAGCCTGGCCAACATGGTAAAACCTCATCTCCACTAATATTATATATATATATATAAAAGCTGGGCATGGTGGCGCATGCCTGTAATCCCACCTACTCAGGAGTCTGAGGCATGAGAATCGCTTGAGCCCAGGAGGTAGAGGTTGCAGTGAGCTGAGATTGCACCACTGCACTCCAGCCTGGGCTACAGTGACACTCTGTTTCAAAACAAAGCAAAAAGCCTCCTTAGATTAAAACTGGCTTCCAGCCTCAGTTCCACTGGTCACCGTTCAAGTACTTTGCATCTCTAAGTCTCTGTTTTGTTGTTGTTGTTGTTGTTGTTGTTGTTGTTGTTGTTGAGACAGAGTCTCGCTCTGTCGCCCAGGCTGGAGTGCAGTGACACGATCTCCGCTCACTGCAAGCTCCACCTCACTGGTTCACGCCATTCTCCTGCCTCAGCCTCCCAAGTAGCTGGGACTACAGGCGCCCACCACCATACCCGGCTAATTTTTTGTATGTTTTAGTAGAGACAGGGTTTCACTGTGTTAGCCAGGATGGTCTCGATCTCCTGACCTCGTGATCTACCCGCCTCGGCCTCCCAAAGTGCTGGGATTACAGGTGTGAGCCACCACACCTGGCTCTCTCTATTTCGTTAACTTCAAAAGGAAGTTAGCATTGTCCTTACAGAGGTGCTGAGGATTAAATGAGATAATACATGGAAAGCATTAGGCCTGTACCACACTTAGCAGATGGTGGCTGGCTCTCACTGCTTTTCCACCAGTCTGTGGCCTACAGTTTAAATGGTGAGAAGAGGGTATGAGATTTGAGGCTGGGGAAGGAGGCATGGGGTTCTAGGAAAGGGAGACAGTCACTTAGGCCTGGAGCAAGGGGCCTGGGGCCTGGGCAGGTGACAGAGCCCCACAGTGCCCTCACTACCCTATTAATGGGCCCAGAATCTGGAAGCCAGCCGCCACGTGCCGTCATGCCCCGGGTCTTCCTGCAGGTGGAGCTGAAGAGCCAAGACGCTCAGAGTCTGCAGCAGCAGCCAGACCATTACCTGGTCACCTGCAGCAGTCCGTGGCCACCTATCAGCAGCAGGTGGCCGCCTATCAGCAGCTGACCTCTGAGAAGGAGGCGCTGCACAGGCAGTTACTGCAGCAGACCCAGCTAATGAACCAGCTGCAGCAGCAGGAAGCTTGGGGCAAAGCAGTGGCCGAGATGGCCCACCAAAAGTTACAGGAGACCCGGGGAGGGAGCGGCTGAGGATGGGGCCATGAGGGGGACGACCTGGCAAACTCAGTGCCTTCTCACTCTTTCCTGGCCCCTTAGGAGCACTTGGAGGCTGCCAGCCAGCAGAATCAGCAGCTGCAGGACCAACTGAGCCTCACGGCTCTCCCTGGGGAAGGTACGGGAGGCCACTCAGAGGAAGAGGACAGAGCCCCAGGAGGAAGGGGGGACTGTTAGCAGCACAGGATTGAGGAGTTGGAAGAGACCTTTAGAACAGCTGGTCATTATGCCGACCGGGTGCCTGCACTAAGTTCGGCATCAATATGGCGACCTCCTGGGAGCGGGGGGGCCACCAAGTTGCCTAAGGATGGCTGAACTGGCCCAGGTCAGAAACGGAGCAGGTCAGAACTCCTGCACCGACCGGTAGTGGGACTGGGCCTGGGCGGTATAGCAAGATCTTGGTTCTTAAAAGGAAAAATAAAGAACAGCAGCTCATTCCTCTCTGGGGAGGGGCTGGCTCAGGGTTACATAGTGAGGGTGGAGGCAGAGGTGGGCCCACAGTACCTCCCTTGTTGGGTTGTCTGAGGAGCCCTCTGGCCACTCCCCACAGGAGATGGAGGACATCTGGACAGTGAGGAGGAGGAGGGACCTCGGCCCATGCCGAGCGTCCCAGAGGACCTGGAGAGCTGGGAGGCCATGGTGAGCCTGACTCCCCCCGCACCCATTTTACCACCTTCCTCTGTGGTTCCTGCCCCAGGGACTGGGGGCGAGTCTGTGATCGGGGAGCCCCAGCGGGGCCTGCGGGAAGTCATGGAGAAGCTGGAGGTGAGTGAGTGCTGGCATGGGCCAAGAAGAGCAGGGGTGGGGCAGGTCACTGCCGAGATGTGACCCCATTATTTTGGCTCCAGAGCTGCCTTATGGACCTGAGGGAGCGTGTGGAGAAACTAGAAGTTCAATTCATCCACTACTGGAGGGAGAGATGCCATCAGTGAGTGGGAGGTCAGGGCACGGCAGGGGGAGCTGCAGGGCCCTCAGAGGGGCCCCAGCGTCTGAGTCCTGTCCTCCTGCAGGAAAATTCGTCACCTTATAAATGAGCCAGTGGGCAGTGCCAAAGATGTGGCACTGAGAGGACATCATCAGGCTGGCCCAGCACAGGGAGGAGATGAAGGTAGGGTGTGCAACATCTCTGCAGGGGTGGGGTGGGGTGGGCGTGAGGGTGGGCGCCGGCAGCGGTGTGATGGCTGAGTACCCCTCCCTCCAGGTGAAGCTGCTGGAGCTTCAGGAGATGGTGTTACGGCTTGTGCTGACCACATCAACGAGCACAGCAAACTCCTGACTTCTTCCCAGAACCCAGCTGATGAGCCCGGTCCAGGAGCTTGGGGCTGCCCACAAGCATGGCGGTGAATAGAGCCCTCAGGCGGGGCGGGCAGGCAGGAGCAGGGGGTGCTGGCGCTGCACTCAGATCCCCGCCTCCCTCTCTCCAAAGATCTTTGTGAGCTGAGCCTCAGCGTCAGCGCCGAGACTGGGCAAGGAGAAGCCAGGGAGGGGTCTCCCCACGACAACCCCACTGCACAGCCCATCACGCAGGAGCACCAGGAGCACCAGGAGCACCCAGGCTTGGGCAGCAACCGCTGCGTGCCGTTCTTTTGCTGGGCTTGGCTGCGGAGAAGAAGGAGATAAACATCACCGTCATCAAAGAGCTGGTCAAGACATTTTAAAACAAGAAACAAAGCTATGGGGTGAATCTCCTACACAATTCATTTCCTTCCTTTGAATGTTAGAGCCACACTTGATTATTTTTGTTTCCAATTTATAGTTTAAGTTTATTTGTAAAAAGTTGTAAGAGAGTGGGTCTCTGTGGCCTTCACTGAGGTTCACTCTGGCATCCTTTAGCATTTTTCTGTTTTAATTTCATAATTGTAAGTCATTAGCATGTATATCGAGTTTGCCATTATGTGGTGGGAGTTCAAACACACAAAGACCCACTGTTTGCACAGAACTATTCTCGCTGTTTTGGAATAGGCTGCCATGCTTTTTTAATGTTATTACAGCATGTATGTTCATTACAGAATTCAGATAAAATTTGCTTATGTTCTGCTATTATGTTTGATTTAATCTTAATCACAGTGAGCCCTTCATTAGCTCAATATGCGGTTTGCCCTCAAGTGTGCACTGTTGATTACTTTGTAATATGCCAGCGTGAGTACTGACATTAGAGTTGTTTAAAGGCCGAGAACTGGAAACAGCCTTTCCCCCATTTTCTGTGTACTGGTGATGGGAGTAATAACGTTTTGGGGGAGCTTTTTAAATCTCACAGAAGAGGACAGTGGCCTGCTCCGGCAGGAATGTGCGGGATACAGTGTGTTTCCTTTGTTCCGGTGCCAAGAACGAGCGCTGTACTATGGCAGTTCCCTTAGGATTCATGTGTGCTCTGGGCTCATGAAGATATTGCATCAGGAGCTGCAGCAGTTGTACTCTTTATCCGTCACCTAAAAAGGGACTATTTCTGAGGAATGAAAGGCTCCCATCGTTGACTGTGGATGTGGAAAACCTTTCCTAGCTTAGAGCATTGGTATCTGTAATACATTTGAAAATCAGAGTTCATATTACCTGTTTTAATCACATGACTACATGTCCCAGTTCACAAAAGGGCACTGGTTAGCATTCTTCTTAATGTATTTAGTAAAAAGCATGAGAAGTCCTTTAAGAGTTTAAATGTCCCTGGAACAGGCATAGAGGCTCTAGTCCAGAATGAATTAGAGTGAAGGAAAGCCATGTGACACCTGGCATTCCTCTCTGTTCATGGAGCTTCTTTGAGGCTTGAAGATTGATTTTACCATCTAGACCTCTCTGGCTAATACCTATTCTTCAACCACCTTAGTTACTCTGACATAGGAATTTACTTCTTTCCTTGAAAACACTTAAAAAAAATAATAACAAACATTATTATAAACTAATATGTGAGAGTACTTAGTTGAAACAAAAAGGAGTTTTAGGAGACAGTATTATACTATCTTTGAAAATCAAGGAGAAGTTTATGCAACTTAAAATGTTTACAAGCTGCAGTGCAATCTACTGTTCGTGAATGTCAATGTATTATCAGGAAACGTGTCTATACAATCACAGAGTAGTATATTTCCTCACAAACTTCTTTACGAAGAGTGAAATATGTTTTTATACCTCTCGGTTTCAGTTAGGGGCATATTTTGTGCAATATTTATGTGATTGTGCCTATGCATGAGGAATGAATGAATTTCAGTCACACATTGTCTAAATCATAACTTGATGATGCTTGGGAAAGAATCAACAGTTAAAACTTCATGAGGTTCTAATGTCTGTGTCCAAAACACATCACAGTATTAGGACGTAGGGAGATACGTATGTGTGCTCCCTGGGGTGGGGATTTCTAGTTACTAGACCATCTCCATTTTTAGCATTTGGCATCCTCATGATACTTTTATAAATATGACGTTAACAGAAGAGCAACAATATGATTTTACCGATGGAATAACAGATTTCCTGCATTCACTGAAAGACTAAATATTGGGTCCTTGTGACTTCAACTGACTCTTCCAAATTGTATGAATGTATCAATGTATCAGATAAACCCAGTTTCAGAATGATAAAGAAAAAATATTAGACCAAATAATGCAGCTAATTAACAGTGGTACGATTTTTAGCCTGTGTTTTAAAATGGACTTAAAGTCCTGTTCTGCCTTTTATTTTCTGAACTTGCCACTTTGCATTCTTTGAGTTCAAAGACAGTTGCTAGCATCTGTACCTAATCTGACAATAATGTGTTCCTCAGCTGCCTATGGATTAAATCACATACTGGCATATTTAAGCTGAATGTCAGTCTGGAAAATAAATTTACTATATTAATTGAAATACCACTCTTTGTTTAGGTATTTGTCATATATTTAAGAAAAAATTACAAAGAATGGAAATCGTATGACAATAACGTAAGTCTTTCTTCAAAGTGCATGCAGACTTTTGCGATATCTCATTCAGCCAAGTATTTGTGCTCTTCCTCATTCAGTATAACGCAACTTTCAACTTGCTTAGGAGGCAACGTTGGAAGGTTAGAGTTCACCAGAAACATGGAATTTTACAATGTGAGTTCAACTGAACAAATTTGAATTTCTGTAGGAAGAATCAAAACACCTAAAGACCGCAATATATAATAATTGTTTTTAAAGTATTTATTAAACCTGATAGATTTTCCAGAAATGAAAAAAAATCAGCTCTAAAACCAAAGCAGATTTTTAGAAAATTGAAAATGTTAATCAGCCCTATCCATAATGAAATTTCTCTAAAACTTTATCTTAAAGAGTCATTTTAAAATAATATAACTATTAAAAAATGTAACTGCTAGCTTAATGTTCTGAAATAAGTTTAAACATTTAAAAATATGAATACTGTTGCTAATATAAAGATGGTGGGAAGGAAAAGTAGAGAAAGAAATGCCAATTCCAGTCCAAAGTTTTATTTGCCAAGCTTTCTTAGAATGAATTTTACCGATTTATGAATTCTTGTAAACAGAATGTATAATGGAAATACTGAAAGACTTTTGCCTAAAGTGGCATCATGGACTGCTGGTGTGATGCTACTGTAATGTAATAAATTCTTAAATTGTTGCAAAGTGCTGTTTTTTGCCTTAAAATTTTATTTTGCGTGTCTCGAAAACTATAATATTAAAGGTATTGAAAGTGTGCAAATGTTGGGCATGCCTGGCATGAGATAATCTGTTTCATTTTTACAAAATTGTAATATATGCAAGTGTAATATATGCAACAAAATAAGTTATGGGATTAAAAAAGTTATGGGGTGAAAAACTTATGGCAAAAAAACTTGTGACAAAAAAGTAGAAAAACGTTTTATGAAAAGTTACCAAAAATAGTTATGAAAAATAAATTATGGGATAAAAAAGTCATGAGATAAAAATAAAAATTAAAAACCGGCCCCTGTCAGCAAAGCCTGGAGAAATGGGGCTGGAGTCTCCACCGCCACCATGTCCCTGCCACTCCTTCCCAGTCACCCCTTTACAATTAGGGTAGCAAGACAAGACCTCTGTCTAATGGGGAAAGACAAACAGACCCTTTGCCACCTTGACCAGGGCTGAGTCTTTAAATTTCCAGATGACGATGATTGTTATTTAAGAGCCACAGGCTGGTGGAGTTGGTTTGTTTGGAGGCCTGATGGCCTTTCTCTCACCATAGCAACTTTTCCCTCAGCAGGGCTCCCAGCTTCTTATTCAGAGAGGTAACTGAGGCAGGACAGTGGGGCTAACTGTGGACCAGGTGAGGGTACGGCCTGCTGGGGTGGCCCCCTTCCCTGGTGTACATACTGTGTCTGTGTAACGTTTTGTATATTCCAGAGGGTAGGGCTATCCCTGTATCGGACCTAGCGGTGGTTGGAGCTGGCACATGGGCAGGAGGTTCTAATAACTATTTGTGGTTGGAAACTTATTTATTGCTAGCATAGGACAGAGGAAGGAGGCGGGGATGGGGTCGTGGCTCCCTGGTGATGCGACTCCTGTTTATTTTGCTTTTTATTTTGGAATAAACGGATTTAGCCATACTCCTCGGCCTGGTGTGTTCCCGTTTCCCTCACTGGGTCCTGGAGTTTGTGCCACCAAACGAGGAGCCCCAGAGTGTCTTGGGCATGTCCAGCTAGGCTGTTGGGGACCTTCCAGGCTTGTTACCTGTATGCTGCCTGGTGGCACCTGGGGGATTCCACGGGGACTGCCATGGCGCCTACGGGGCGCAGTCCCACCCTGACAGCCAACAGGCTCAGAAGCCTGATCTAGCGGTGGCCGGGAAGACAGGTATCAGCACCTAAGGGCACTGACTTCCACCCAGCCCAGGCGTCTTCCATTCCGTCCCCGTGCCTCCCTCTCCCGTCTGCACCTGGTGGCCTCTTCTGTCTGTCCCTCCAGAGCGCCGGCTGCCCCGCAGGCTCCCTCCAGGCTGCCTTCATGGCCCTGCCCCCTGGTGGCCAGAGCCGGCTTCACAGGATAAGAGCCAGGGAAGCTCCAGGGGCTTTCCAGGAAAAGTGAACCTTGGAAAGGGTATGGCCTTTTCACCGCTCCCGACAGCACCCTAGAAATGGCTTGGCCTTTCCCCTCCCCTGAGCTCCACAGAGAACACAGCCAGCAGAGGACACATTTCCCCGCCATCCAGAAATGGGTGTGATTCTCAGCCGAGGGACAGCAGGACTGGTAGAGACTGTCAGGCCACACCGCTGCCTGCACAGCACTCCCATGCTTGGTGGGGGCGGGAGGGATGGCGGGGGCTGTCCGTAGGCCGAGCAGGACAGGGAGGCTCACTGGAGGTGCTGCACTTTGGAGGGGCGATGTCAGGGGACAGCTTTCTCTTGTTGGGACACAGGACTCCAGAAGGACAGCACGGTGACTGATTCCCAGTGCTAGAGGCGAGGCGGTCGGCCACATGTAGGAGAGCGTGTGTGTGTGTGTGTATATGTATGTATGTGTATATATGTATGTGTGTATATGTATGTGTGTATATGTATGTATGTGTATATATGTATGTGTGTATATGTATGTGTATATATGTATGTGTGTATATGTATGTGTATATATGTATGTGTGTATATGTATGTGTATATATGTATGTGTATATATGTATGTGTATATGTATGTGTATATATGTATGTGTGTATATGTATGTGTATATGTATGTGTGTATATGTATGTGTATATATGTATGTGTATATATGTATGCGTATATATGTATGTGTATATATGTACATGCATGTATTTATAGATATTTCTAGAACAGGGCAGGGGCATACCACAGAGGGGGGCACACGTTTTCAGCCACAGTCACACCTGGAGGTGTCAGCTCACCACTACAGCAGACCAAGTCAGAGATGAAGGGGGCTGGCTTTGGGGCCGGGGGAGCCACTGTCAAATCACAGAACAGCCGCCCAGGCAGGCCTGGAAAGGGAGGTCTCCGAGAAGAGGACAGATCTGTTTAGAGGTCAAAGCGGGGCCAGGATGGACTTGCTGGACCCGATCGGCTGGCAGCTGGAGAGAAAGCAGAGAGAAAACAGGAGAGAGAAAAGTGAGCAGAGAGCTGGTGAGGCAAGTGCAGAGCACAGGTGTGCCACCGCAGCTGTGGGAGGGCCGGGGAGGGGAGGGCGCAGGTGAGGGTGTGGCAAGGTTCCTGGAAAATCGGGGCTGGAAGGGAAAGGGGAGGAAGATGGAGGGAGGAGCCGGAGCTTCACAGGTAGTGCCTGGGGGCTGTGGCCACCCTCCCCACCCCACACACGCTGGCCTCGTCCACGGCACCCAGGCAGTGCACCCACTGTTCAGACCAATGCTCACCCCCTCGGGCTTCCCTCTTCTCTGGTCACTCGGTCTTCCAACCCCTGGTCTGGGGTCACCTCTTGCCTTGGGGAGCCCAACGTAACAGCCACCAGGCCTGATAGAGAAGGAACACTGCTTGAACCAGGATGATGAAGCTAAAAGGGATGGATGTCTGGAGTGATCACCGGAGAACCCTCTGGGTGGTCGGAACGCCCAGGATCCTCTGAAGGGACCCTGGGGGAGGCAGGGAGGGCAGGCAGCCGGATGCCACTGGCTATAGACTTGTAAGTCTAAGAGGGAAGCCTCAGCTTGTTGGGGGTTGCAGGTCGCATAGATGAGGCTGGGCCCTTCCTGCTGGGAAAAGTAGAAGAGGGAGAGTCCATGGCAGGGGAGGTGGGTGGGCTCAGCCAGGCCAGCAGGCACTGTGGTCCCCCTTGTCTGAATAGCAGAGGCGACCTCAAGGAGCAACAGGCCAAGGTGCATGAGCCTGCTGGCCTGCGATAGTGCTTCAGCGGGGACCAGGGACCCTGCCTTCAGTCACATGCTGGCAGCTATGATGGGACCTGGGAGGGAGGGAAGGGGCTGTGTGTCCCCGCCTGGCCTGTGAGGTGTGTTGTGGGTTGACTGTGTGTTTGGGACTCTCGAGGTTTTATCCTGGATCACCACTGGGTTGCCGACAGATAGAGGAGGTGGGACCCTGACTCTCACCCTGCTCTGCAGTGGATTTGGCTCTCAGCACTCCCAGGCTGGGAGCTGTATACTCTGCCCTGGCAGCATGACTCGGACTGCACAACAGGTACAGTGTGCCCAGGATGACATTCCTAGGCCTCTGGCCGCCTCAGAGTGCAGCCCCACACACAACCCCCTCCCAGCTCTCAGCCCTTACACCATAAACCATGAGCTCTCTGATGGTTCCAGAGAGCACCCACGTCTGCCAGCTTGGGCACGGAGCCCGTTCCAAGAGCCCCAGGCTCAGCCATGGCAGCTGGGGGGTTTTGGGGCCGTAGGGGCCAGCCATGGTACCTGGGTCCGGCAAAGATGTTCTGCACCTGCAGCCAGGAGTTGTCCACGAGCCCCTGTGGAAGTGCTGACGGTGGTTGTGTTGATGTCGTGGATGATGCTGAGTGCCTCCTTCAGCAGGTGGTGCATACGCAGCATCTCGTCGCGCCGCTGTGTCTGCTCTGCCGACTCCTCCATCAGCGTGTTCTGGTCCCCACGCGAGTACAGGTTGGGCAGCAGCTCTGAGAAGATGAACTCCTTGGTCTGAGAGTGGGCAAAGAGGGAAGGAGGTTGGGACCTGATGCCTGCGCTGCCCTGGCCTCCTGCCGGGCCCTTCTGGGACTGTGTGCTGGATTTGGAGCCCTGAGTATGGCTTCTACACAGCTTCTACACCGCTTAGACTCAAAGATCTGCCTCCCCACCACCCTTTTCTCACTCAGATAGGGACACTGAGGTCCAGAGGAAAAGTCACCTGTCCAAGGTCACAGGTCTGGGAGGGGACCCAGGACCTATCATGCCACCAGCACACCTGTCTACTTAGTTTTTTAAATAAATGTTTTTTGGAGATAGGATCTCGCTCTGTCGCTAGGCTGGAGTACAGTGGGCAAGATCACCGCTCACCGCAGCCTCAGCCTCTTGGGATCAAAGTGATCCTCCAATGTCAGCCTGTCGAGTAGCTAGGACTATAGGCACGTGCCACCACCAAGCCCAGCTATTTTAAAAATTTTTGTGTAGAGACCAGGTCTCACTACATTACCCAGGCTGGTCTCAAACTCCTGAGCTCAAGCTATCCTCTCTCCTGGGCCTCCCAAAGTGCTGGGATTACAGTCATGGGCCACTGCGCTCAGTCCCACCTTATATTTCTATGAGACAGCTCAGGTCTGGACAATGCCTCCCTCCTTGGACCTGGTCCCATAGGGCTGGTCGGCATCTCCCCCAGGCCATCATGGCCACCTGCATCCCCAGTGCTACAGGAGCCCCCACCCCCATGAGGCGGTGCATGCACGTTGTTGATCATGACGTGCATGATGGTCTTGGGCATGACACCAACCATGAGTTCCCACACGGTCTTGCTGACAATGGCCATGTAGGAGTCCTCCAGGTACTGGGTGGTTTCCATTTGCAGCTCCAGCTGTGGGTCCATGGAGTGCATGAAGCTGTCGGAGCCATTCTCCTCAGCCTTGCTGTCCTGTCAAGGAGAACACAAAGGCATCAGGGTGGCCAGGTCATGCAGCCAGGCTCCAGGAATCCCCAGGATCTCAGCCCCTCCAAGGGTACCTGGAACATCGAGGCTTAGAGAGAAGCAACTGGCCTGAACACACACCCAGCTACCTACACACTCTAGATGGTTTCAGGTCTCTGCCTCTCAGGACCCCAGACTCCCCTGATTCACTCTCCTCTTAGTTTTGACTCTAGTACTCAGAATTTGCCTCAAGTTACCAATCCAGAAATTGGAAAAGAACAGCTCCAGTTCCCTTGCTTGAAGACCTGGCCAGAGCTTGTGCCAGGCTGCAGACATCTGGCAGGAGGCAAGAAAAGGGCATACTCACTTTCCCCTTGTCTTGGGAGGCCCATGCACCAACATTGCCACCGCCGCTGCCACCAGGGAACACGGCAAAGTAGACACACACAGAGAGGAAAACGGGAAGGGTCGAGTGAACCTGGGACACTGCACCCCGACTTTAACGTGTTGTTGAATTCAATTAGCTAATATTTTGTTGAGGATTTTTGCATCAATATTCATCAGTGATGTTGGCCTGTAGTTTTCTTTTTTGGTTTGCATCTTTAGTTTTGGTATCACGGTAATGCTAGCCTTGCAGAATGAGTTTGGAAGTATTCCCTCCTTCTCTATTTTTGGAATCATTTGGGTAAGGTTGGTATTAGTTCTTCTTTAAATGTTTGCTAGAATTCAGCAGTGAATCATCAGGTCCCAGGGTTTTCTTTGCTGGGAGACTTTTTATTACCACTTCAATCCCATTATTTGTTATTGGCCTGTTCAGGTTTTGGATCTTATCATGGTTCAATCTTGGTAGGCTGGATGTGTCTGGAAATTTATCCAGTTTTAGTAGGTTTTCCTATTTCTTTGCGTATAGTTGCTGACCACTAGTGATCCTTTGAGGGCTTATTTTTGTTTGTTTGAGATGGAGTCTTGCTCTGTCACCCAGGCTGGAGTGCAGTGGGGCAATCTCAGCTCACTGCAAGCTCTGCCTCCCGGGTTCATGCCATTCTCCTGCCTCAGCCTCCCGAGTAGCTGGGACTACAGGCGCCCACCACCATGCCTGGCTAATTTTTTGTATTTTTAGTAGAGATGGGGTTTCACCATGTTAGCCAGGATGGTCTCGATCTCCTTACCTCGTGATCCGCCTGCCTCGGCCTCCCGAAGTGCTGGGATTATAGGTGTGAGCCACCGTGCCTGGCCAGTTTTTCTTTTAAATAGATTTGAGACAGACACTATGAGAGTATATAAGCGATGCATTATAGGACACTAAGTAGTATCCTATGAAATGGCAAAAACCGCAATCACTTTTGCACCAACCTAATAGAAACTTACCAGTGCACTTGCTTATTTTTCTACCTGCTCTTTAGGGCTTTCAATGTCAACCTACCATGGCATAGACTTTAATCCTCTGGGTACTCTTTTGTTGTTCTTTCCTGTATATGCTGTGGAATTGAGATACACTGGTTCATGAGAGAGAGATTTTGTGTTGCCACAGGTAGGACACGCTCAAAAAATACTTGGGTCATTTGTTGACGCAAGTCATCTGTTTGCCACAGTTTTGTAGCACTGATCTTGCATACATTTCATGTATCTTCCATAAATTCCACATCAGCTGCTTATAGAATACTCAGAGAGAAATTCAACACTAAGGAATAAGAGTGTTGGGTAGGGATGAGTTTTGGAGAGTCACAAATCTTGTAATGTCTAAGATTTGTAATGTCTCCCCGCTGAGAATTAGTTGTGGCTTCCTTGGAGGTGATATTGCCTCTGTTGAGAATAAGTGGCCTACTGTGATCAGACCACTACACTCTAGCCTGGGCCACAGAGCGAGACCCTGTCTCAAAAAAAAAAAAAAAAGAGAGAGAGATCGAGAGAAGAGAGAATGCATGGCCTAGATGACTTCTAAGGTTCTTCCCACCCAGTTCCTGTTTTCCTGTTCTAGGCAGAGCAGTAAAGTGAGAAAGACACGGATGTGGGAGTTTAGTCCGGCATTTCACTGCCACTTACCCTGAGAAACGCTTCCATATTTAATCTCTCTGAACGTATTTACTCATCTTTAAAGGGGAATGATTGTTAACATCTTTTTCTCAGGGAAACTATGTCAAGGAGATAATATATTTAAAAATCTTTTTAACTGCAAACACTGTTTCACTCAGTGTTATAATGTGACTGATCTCATCGTAGTGAGCAGTTGGCTAACTGCTAATTGTGCCTTTTAGAATGTAGGGAAGATAACAAGATTTTTAGCATATTATATATGTAGCTGGTTCTGGAACCGTAAACATACTCTTTTTTTTTTTAAACGGAACTATGAGTCACATAAAATTTACTCTTTTAAAGTTGTATAATCCAGTGGCTTTTGGTATATTCAGAATTGTGCATCTACTACCACCATTTCATTTTAGAATCTTTTCATCACCCCCAAAAGAAACCCTGTACCCATTAGCAGTCAGTCTCCCTTCTCCCAGCCCCTGGCAACTACTAATCTACTTTCTATAGAAAGTCCGTACAGATTTGTGTATTGTGGGCATTCCGTATAAATGGACTCATGCAATATCCTGCCTTCTTTCATTCAGCATAGTGTTTTCAAGGTTCATCTAGGTTGGAGCGTGTATCAGTACTTCATCCCTTGTTTTGACTAAATAGTATTTCATTGTATGACTATATCCCATTTTGTTTATCCATCTGTTGGTGAACATTTGGGTTTCTACCTTTTGGCTCTTATAAATAATGTTGATTTGAACGTCTGGGTACAAGTTTGATACCTGTTTTCAGGTCTCTTGCGTATATAATTGCTAGGTCAGATGGTAACTCTACGTTTAACATTTTGAGGAATTGCCGGACTGTTTAACAAGGTGTATGTACTATTTTACACCAGCAATATATGAGGGTTCCCATATCAGCACATCCTTGACAACACTTGTTACTGTCTTTTTTATTATAGCCATCCTAGTGGCTGTGATGTGGTATCTCGTTGTGGTTTTGATTTGTGTTTCTCTGATGAATAATGATGGTGAACATGTTTCCGTCTGCTTATTGGCCATTTGCATATATCTTCTTAGGAGTGGCTACCCATTTACAGTACAGAAAATGCTTCAGAAGCAACTCTAGTCATGCCTTAGAGATGGAGCTTTATTAAACATTCAGATCTGTAGGCCTATGAGGTGCTGGGTTCTCCTGAACTCCTCATACAGATTGCACTGAGTTTAGTGAACCTTTTCTGGAGCATTCCTGAGTTCAGGTAGAGGGAAGGGTTTTGGCTGTGATTGGTTCGTTATGTTCTTTCTAAATGGAAATGGAATTGAAGTGTCTCCACTATCCATTTACTGGAAGAGTCACGAGGGACATGATTAGATGATCCCTTGGAGCCTACGGCTTAGGTCAGTGGTTCTCTACTTAGGCTGCACATTGGAATCACCTGAGAGGTAAAAACAAAAACCAGGACACCTTATGCCTGCCTAATGCCTGCCTCCAGCAATTCTAATGCGATTGGTCAGGACTGTGGCTTGGGCAGCCTGTGTCTCATCTCCAGCAATTCTGATGTGATTGGTCGGGGCTGTGTCCTGGGCAGCCTGCCTCTCATCTCCAGCAATTCTGATGCGATTGGTCAGGGCTGTGGCCTGGGTAGCCTGCATCTCATCTCCAGCAATTCTGATGTGATTGGTCGGGGCTGTGGCCTGGGCAGCCTGCCTCTCATCTCCAGCAATTCTGAGGTGATTGGTCAGTGCTGTGGACTGGGTAGCCTGGGTTGTGTTTTAATGGTACCAGGTGATTCTGATGTGCCGTCCAGGTTGAGAATCACTTTAGGCCCTTTCCAGCTCTTTAAACACATGAATTTATCTAGGAAGGTATGAAAGTGTAAGTTTCTTGAGACTGCCTTTAATATCTATAAAGGCTTCAAAGCAGCTTCTATAGCTTTTTTAAATGGCTGAATATTATTCAACAGGCAGCATTTGGGTTATAAAATTAGGTTTTGGTGGCCGGGTGTGGTAGCTCACACCTGTAATCCCAGCACTTTGGGAGGCCAAGGCAGGCAGATCACGAGGTCAGGAGATGGAGACCATCCTGGCCAATATGGTGAAAACCCATGTGTACTAAAAATACAAAAAATTAGCCAGGCACGGTGGCGGGCACCTGTAGTCTCAGCTACTCAGGAGGCCGAGGCAGGAGAATGGCTTGAACCCGGGAGCTAGAGTTTGTAGTGAGTCGAGATCGCCCCACTGCACTCCAGCCTGGGTGATAGGGCAAGTCTCTGTCTCCAAAAAAAAAAAAATTAGCTTCTTGTAGAGTTGATACCACCTGCAGCTTTTGCTCTCAAAAATAAATATGGTTCTTTTGGCACACTCATGGTTTTAGCCTAAAGTTCCTCTTTGTAAGCCAGTTATTAAGTTGTGATGCAGCCAGGGCGAAGTGGCACACACCTGTAGTCCCAGCTACTCGAAAGGCTGAGGTGGGGGGATCGCTAGAGCCCAAGAAGTCAAGGCTGCAGTGAGCTGTGATTACACCACTGCATGGCAGCCTGGGCCACAGAGCGAGACTCGACTCTTTAAAAACAGAGAATGCTGTGATGAAAGGTGATGCTCACCTCTCCCACACTCTTTTACAGTTTAGGGATTGTATTTCCAAGGCTTCTGGACTGAGAACCCTTATCTTTACATCTTTGCTCATTGACACTGTATCCCCATTCATCCTCCTGATTAGCTCCCCTTCGATGGACACATGGGTAGTCACGGTGCAGGTCTCTGAACTGTCCTTCAGGCTCCAGGTGATCAACCAAGGCCCTTGTCTGCAGTGTCAACTCATTGCTGCCCCTTCCTAGTAATCCCCACAATTTAGCTCTCCATCTCATAGACTGTCCTTGGGTGTGTTAACAGTGACCATGGCACACTCAGCATGGATGAAATGAAACGGTGTTTAGAAACATTAATCTTCTCTTTTGTAATGCCCTGTAGTCTCTCTGCATATGTCACATTTTGTAATTAACAGCTTGCTGGTGAAAAGGACCCCACGAGGTATTGGCTATAGGCCAGACTGTAAGAGAATTACTTTTTTTTGTCAATCATTTAACCATCTTTAAGCTGCAAGAGTTTTATGTGAAATGGCTTATAATTGCTTAGAGAATATTTGTAGAGAGGCGCATTTGCCAGTATTAGATTTAAAAGTGATGTTTTCTGTATCTAAATGATGAATTATGATTCTTTTCAGTTGTTGGATTTGAAATTCCAGACAACTGGAATTGACTCTAATGAAGACTTCAGGGATTTGAATGTAAGTAACTGCTTATTTTTCCTCACTCATTTTAAAAAACCCGCATAAAAATTTAGGAAAGAGAATTGTTTTCTCCTTCCAGCACCTCGTAATTTGAACAGACTGATGGTTCCCATTAGTCAGATAAAGCTGTAGTCTAGTACTGACGTCCTTAGAACTGGAACCTGGCCAGGCTAGGGTGACACTTCTTGTTGACTGAAATAGTTGGAACAGCTTTAATATACAGTAACTGTTGCATTATTATTTCAGATGATAAATGTGACCATAAGTAAGAAATAAATGATCGACTTTAGTCTTTTAATTCACTGTCCTTTGAATACCTGC